ACAACTCTGTGATTCTCTGATTCTACTGCTCTGGGGTTGAATGGTTCAGACCTTTTCTATTTTCCCTCCCTTCCAACCCCTCTTGCCCTCTCCTCTTAAGGAACACAAAACCCAAACTCCTGTGACACTGGCAGAGCGCAGCTGGTGACTCGAGGTGGCAGGGAGGAGGTGGCCAGGGAAGGAGGAGGATGCTGGCAGAAAATTCCCCCAGAATGCCAACCTAGTGAACAAACATCCCTGCCCCTCACCGTGCCCGGGGCTGGCACTGCCCACGAGCAGTGTCCCTGTCCCGGTGCCCAGCAGACTGCTCCGACACGGAATTTGTCCTCACTCCTGGAGCCTGGGATGGCTCTGCTGCTCCCAAGGAAAGGGAGAGAGGGTCAGAGGGCAGAAATGCTCGGAAGGACAGAAATGGAGCAGGGATTTCAATCCAAAGCTAATGGATGGGCTTCGGAGGCTGCTATTAGCAGAAATTATCGCTCTGTTAATGTACTCCAGGCAGCATTTTTTACAGTTGAATATGGTGTTATTTTCTTAGTTATCCATTCCCTGACAAGTGGTTATAATCAAAGCTGTCTGTGAGCACTATTATCAGAAACTTACTATTATGTGCTGGAGGAAAAAATATCACAGGACTCTGCAGTGCCAGAAACTATTGTAGGTTTTAAAGATCTACTGCAACACCAAGTATTTATTTATGTACTGCTTTTACCTCCTGTGGAAGAAAATAATTTTAACTTAATTTTCTTGCCTCCCCCAACTAGTTTAAAAAATGCACCTCCCAAAATAAGTCCATAATTATGATTAACAACACGGGCTAGGTCCTCAGTTGCTGTAAATTAGCATTTCCCAATTCCTTACAGTGGAGCAAAGCCAGTTCCTTGCAACAGAGAAAGCTTCCCGTGCCCTTGGCATGCTGCTTTACATCTTTAATGGTATTAACAAACCTTCTTTAATGTAGTATTGTACAGAGTTTGCTCTGGCCAGAACAATCTTTTAAAAAAAAAAAAAAAAAAAAAAAAAAGAAAGATAAATCTGGCATCATGGTTTTAAAAGTCTTTAAAATTATCTCGTAAACAAAATTAATTACTTCAATATACTCTGTTGATGAATTAAGTCAATGAAACTGCTACTGCTCTTCATGTGATCTGGCTTCAGAGAACAACTTTATTTTCTTCTTAATTTTCAGGTTGGCCATATTCTTAATAATATTACTGTAATTCTGGCACAGCTCTGTGGCAGAAGGAGCTCCAGTGAGACAGCACAGAAAGGAAGTAATTAACAAAAAATGTTTATATCTGTATAGTTGACTACAAAACATGAAGAAAAAAAAATCCCCTACCATAGGGATTTTGAGGTTTAAGGATATGAATAGGCAATGAAAAATTCTGCACTTTTCATTTAATAAATCCTCAATAATGATCAGATTAATATGAGCAGCTGAGTAATCATTTCTGAAAACATTCTCTGTTTTAGGCTGCTCTGCCATGCTCTCCATTCAGTTGGTGCTGATGACAGTGATGGTCCAAGGCTGAGATTAGTGAAGAAAAAAATCCAGAATTCCTGAGGATACACTGACAGACACATTAAATCTGAAACAGGTACTATCCCTGCGAGTTGTTCTTCCCAGATCTCCCCTCCTCAGCTTCCCCTCTTTTTCATCTTACACCTGGGAATTGAACAAACAGAGTCCAAAATGGGTTTTGGAACAATCCTAAATCAGGGATACTGTGAAGACAAATGGTAAATGTCTGTTACCCCAGCTGCTAAGTTAATTACTGTAATGGGAAACATCTTGACAGAAGCATTGCATATGGTTATTAGCAATTAACCCACCACTCCAAAAATCACAATTCTGCTAATAACAGAGCAGAGCTCAGCCTTCCTAATTACAATCTCTGCACGAAAATTTCTTTATATCAGATTGGACTGTTAAATCCTGTAACTAGCTACAATTTAAAAAGACTGGCAATGGAGATGCTGAGAATTAGGCAGAAAAATGAAAATAGAACAGGATGGCGTGACACTGACTCAAAGTTTTGGGCAACACTCGTTCATGCTTGGGGATACACAACAACTGTCACAGCCTGTTTGCAGGAAATTACACATCAAAATTAAAATGCTAATGAGGGGGAAAATATGCTTTAATTGGGATGGAACATTGTGAGAGATAGCAAATCTTTTACAGAATTCCTGATCTGGACAGTGTTGTAAATAATGTGCTGAATTTGGATTGCACTGGAATCTGACAGAACAATTTTCTGATCAACAGGAGAGGAGAATAATGCAATTTCCATCTCTTAGAAAGTCCTTCAGTACTATATGGAGGGCACAAGCTGTTTTTTTCCCCCCCAACCACTTGTACTCTAGGCAATTGCATCCCATTATAAGTGCACAAAGTCACCAAGGGGAATTGGCACTTTACCTGCTCGGTTCAAAAGCTGGTTTAGCTGAGCAAGATGCAATTTAATTTACTCTTTTTCCCAGTCAGGAAGGCAGCCCTGGTCAGCATGTCCAGTGACTGCTTTGGTAGTGGTCAGGGTGCTGTTTGTAGATGCCGAGGTCAAAGATGCAGAACTTAGAGCAAATAAATTTCAGGACAGCAGGAAGTTGCCTGGTTGGTCATAGCAAGGATGTGGAATGTAAAGAAGTCACTAAAGCTGTTCCCAGGGCCCTTTAGCCCAGTGTAAGAACTGGAATAAATGAGTCAGTTTCTGCCTCTGTGTCAGGTCTGAAGGTTTAACTGACTGGGATCCCAGCAGATCAATTATCTCAGGAGGTTTTGAAACTCCTTCCACCAATGCTGCAACTCTACCCATGGGAATCATCCCATTACAGTCAACAGCTCTGCAGGATATTCTCAAATAAAACACAGCAGAGGAGAAAGCACTAGATTTGTGAGAAGAACACATTGCACTGACTGGGTTGGCTTTGGAGTTCAGGACAATGTCAAGGTCACAGCAGCTAAAGCCTCCTGCCCAGAAAGCAGGGATTTTTTACTCCAGAGTTTGGCTGCAGCTGCATTTTGCTGTGTGGCCCCCCAGGCAAAGGTCTCATCTATAAAAAGTGGCCTTCACTCTGCATTTCAGTACCTCCCAGTTTGCATGTTGCTGGTCCATCATTCTTAACAACTGGGTATAATAAATGTTGTGTATAATTTGTAATGATCACATACAGTTTTGAGGAACAACGTTGAATAGTTTAAGTTCCTTAAGATGGAAAAAATTAATTTTTTTTTAAAGACTAATTTACCTCTCCTGGAAAAATGCCCAAGAACTGAGGAATGAGATATTTTGCTATTTTGCCATGATGTGATCCTGAAAATAATCCAGGTTGGGATGACATCACAGGACATAATGAACACTCAGCCTTGACATAATGAACGTCTACTATTTTATGAAGAAAGATTTTCTGGGGTTTAAGGAATATAATTATTAAAAACTATGTGCTCTGCAGGAGGTAATGAGATTAGCTCAACACAAGGTCCTGTGGAGTTAAAACTACTCCAGACAGAAGAATGACACAGCCATTCATTGGAAATTTCTGGGTACAATTATTCTGCTCTAAGGCCAGATAACAGCTGTGTGCTTTCTTCCCCATGAAAAAGAAATCAGTTGATAAAATCTCCAAGGGATCATGTCCATGCAAGCTTCAAAGCAATGAACAATATAAAACCAGTTTTCTTCTTATGAATGGTAAATGTTTACCTACTTCACAAAGGCCCTGGAAAATAAAAACCATACAGGAAACCACGTGTAAAGTGTGTGGAAAATGAGAAGTGGGTGTATCGTGTTACAGGGCTGCAAGGGAGACAAATGAATGCTCTGTGAAACAGAGGCTGGCTGCTGGCTGGTGAGGGTGCTGGTGCACCCAGCCAGCTGTGTCTGTCACAAATTTGTGCAGGAGCTCCTTTAGAGCAAGTGGACACCAAGCCATTCCATCGGAGTGGAAAGGAATCACAGATTTTAGCTCTGGCTGGCCCAGGGCCCATCTGCTGTTCACAGCCCAGTGCCTGGTTAGTCACAGCTCTCTGGAGAGAGGGAAACCGTGCTGTAATGCACCCGGAGACCTGCATTAGATCATAAAACGCTTAAGGTGTGTTTTTCTCAATTTTTTATTTGCTACTATGCACAGTTCCCTTTCCAGGTCAGTTGGTCTCCCTTCTCTCAGCAGTAAAGGGGAAAGAGTTGTGTTTTGACAGCAGTAAAGGTCTGGAGAGATCATAAAGATGAGAGGATGGTAGGCAGCCCTGGGATTTAAAAACCACTCCTGAGTTGCCAGTTTTATGTTCCTGCTGTCACTAACTCTCAGCAGTAGCGGTGTTATCCCTCCCTCAAGATGTTAAACGCGTTTATTTTCACGATTACCTCTCGGAAGCGCTCAGATACGATTGCACTGGGCATCCTGTACAGAACAAAGAAGGACCAGAGGAAATAAAGGGCAGCCAATATCCGTGTCTGTCAGCGCTCTCGGCATCCCGGCAGCGCAGGGAGCGCGGGGCGGCTGGAGCCTGCCCATCCCTGCGTACGGACACGCAGAACACCCGCTGCCTGTCTGCTCCCGGAGCTGGGAATGCGGAGCAGGGAAAGCTCCCTTTGCAGGAGGAGGAGCAGAGCAGTATTCCCGCGGGGAGCTCCCGGGACGCGGCACAGCCGGGCGGGCACCGCACGGAGCTCCGCGCTCCGAGCCGAGAAGCGGGCACCGTACGGAGCTTCGCGCCGAGGGGTGGGCACCGCACGGAGCTTCGCGCCGAGGGGCGGGTATCCCACGAAGCTCGGAGCTCCGCGCCGAGAGGTGGGCACCGCACGGAGCTCGGAGCTCCGAGCCGCGGGGCGGGGCTGGCCCGGCGGGGCGGGGATGGGGCCGGGCCGGAGCCGCTCCGCCCGTGGCGCGGCTGTGCCGCCGCTTTAAATGATTTGGGGGCCGGGGCTGCTGCTCCTGCTGCTGCGGGTGAGGGTGCTGCTCCGGCCGGCGCTCCATCCTCCCTCCCCGGCAGCGCCATGCGAGCCGGGCCGGCGCTGCTGTCCGTGCTGCTGGGCTGCGCTCTGGCCGCGGAGCCGCGGCTGCAGCGGGGCATGTGAGTGTGGGGCTCGGCCGGGACACGCTGCCTGTGGCCCTGCGGGGAGGCTCCGGCTCCCCTCGGCTCCCCGGGGCGGCGGGGAAACTTTGGGTGGGTGCGCCGTAACTCCGCGCATCCCCAGCGCCCGTCCCGGCCCGCGGAGTTCTCCTGGATGGGCTTGCGGGGCTCCGGGGAGGGAGAGCTGGGCTGGACTGGGCTTTGCCGCGGGAGGTGAGCAGCTCCGGGGCTGCTTCTGTCTTCGCTATCAACCTGGGGAGAGCAGCAGGACGAAGATCGGGGTGCCAGCTGGGGATCCGTGCGGGAAGGGCAGGGAGCGGGGAGCATCCATCCATCCATCCATCCATCCATCCATCCATCCATCCATCCATCCATCCATCCATCCTCCCGCGGCCGGGAGCGCACAAAGAGCTCGGGCCGCACGTGTGCGGCTGCCGCGGCGCCGGGCAACTTTCTCCGAGGGGTTCTGCACGGCACGAGCAACAAATGCCCTTTGTTGAGTCCGGAGGTAGTTCTCTGGTCGGCTCCTGGAAGAGAGTAGCTGGCCGCATGCACGAAACCTGCGGTTAAAGTTTTTGCGTGTTGAAATTGAGTGTTGATGGAAACTGTTTCCTGTGTACCTTTACTTTTCCTTGTGTATCTTTCTCGTCTTGTGTTTTAAGGAGTGTTGTGTCCCCCTCTCAAAGCAACCTGAGAACAGCCTTTTCAAATATCTGTGTGTAGCCTAATTTCTAACCTCTCTTATCTTCCTGGGTTTTATCTTCATCAACTTCATCCCACTCTTTCATAATTAATGTCTTGTATTTGCTTTTAGTTTAGTTCTTTATTCTGTCTGAAAATTGAGATTTCCAAGCCTATTGCTCGCTGGTTTCTATGCAATGCATATTTACACAGCGTTTACCAGAAGTGCTTTTAAGGTGGTTTGTATTACTCCATTTTGCTGGAGCACGAAGTATCCATCACAGTGCTTAGAGAAGTTAAGCTCATTCTGTGGTAAAACGTTTTCCTTTGTTAAAAGTGCTCTGTGTTCCTTTCAGGCATGCTTTGTGCTCTCTTTCTGAGCAATTACTCTATCGGGAGGAGGAATAGCATTGGCCTACATTAATCTGTTTGCATTTGACATCAGTAATAACTATGATTCTGCACTTTTGAAGCTGGAGGTGCTGTTAACTGTGAATTGCCTCCAAACAACTTTTGTTTGCTTTTACCTTTTTAAAGACAGTGTCACTGAAAGAGCAGAGGAAGCATTCCCTTCTGGAAGTGATGCTGTGTGAGGATGCTGCTGCTGGGCTGGAGTCACTGGGAGCAGCAGTGCACTGTCAGCCAGCAGCAGTCAGGAGCAGCCACCCAAACCCCCAGCCCTGTGTCAGAGCCTTGAGTGCTTTTCCCAAGGCTCATATTCCTGAAATTACTGCCTTTCTTCCTGCTTTTCCCCAGCTGGGGCAAGTATAAGTATCGCTCCAAACTTTTTTGCTATTTAGGGATTTTACCTTTGGTGTAAGCACAAATGCAAGATGTCACCACCCTTTAGGAGTGAGTCTGCCAGCTTTCAGCAAGAAACAGCGACATGCCCAGGAGGATTTTTTCACTGAATCACCTTTTTCTAACAATTCTGGTTTGACTTTGGTCATCTGCAGGCAGTGAAATCAGAACAGCAAATGTATCCCTTGGAACATGCCATGCTGAGTGTGTTCTTTGCTGTTGTTTTGATTGAGATCTTATGTGGCTGAGGCTATACAGGATATTCTTCATAATTGTTTTTGTTCTGTTGCTAACTTGAGCATTTGCTCCTAGCTGGAAATGGGAGGGATCTGTGGGGATGCTGGTGTTCTGCTTCCAAGCCCCCTGAGGAGATTTAATGTAGAACAGATTAGAGAATGATGAGATATTTTTATCAACTGCTTTTCCTTACAATTAGCCCTTGATGATCCTCCAACAGAACTTCAGAGAACTCTGGAATGACCAGAGAGCAGATATGCCATTTTCATTGTAGAGCATATGTGAGCCTTTAAATGAGGAATTAACCATGTCTCATGATAAAAAGCACATTTTTAACACTTTGTAGTGAGCTCTCTAGCCCAAAACTGGGGTGTGCAAGACAATGCAAGTGTGATGTGTGGTTATCTAGCTTTGGGCTTCACAGAAATTAGGGAGTAGCTGTTGGACAGTGCAGAAATGGGACCTAAAAGAGGACTTGAGTTGCTGTCAGAAGTGGTAAATGCTGTCCTAGACAAACATTCCACTGAGGGTTGGAGCAGTACAGATGTCTGCTCATAGCTGGGGGTGTAGGACAGAGCAGAGGCAGTGGAGTTATGAGCTATGTGCTGGGACCCCCCTTTATGCAATAAATATCACCTTTCAGAGTCAGGACTGGGACAGGGCTCAAGAACGGATTCTTCTTGTCCCAGGTGAGGTGGGTGAGGACTTCCCTGGAAAAGGCAGGAGGTCAGTTTTGTTCCTGTCAGCATTAAGCCCCTTCACTTGCTCTGTGTCCATCTGAAGGGGCTGCTTTGCTTTTAGAAGATCCAGTCTCAATCTTGCAATAAAACTTTTGCTTAGGGTTTTTCTTTACTGCTCACATGTCGTATCTGCATATTTTCACTTTCTCCACAAGCAATCTGGTCGCATTCCAAGGAACACCTGGATGCAGAGCTGGATTCCTGGCTGAGTTACTGTTTTCCAGCTTCTTCAATTCTTTGGGGCACTATCGGCTTTCTTGTGCTCCTCCCGATAAATCACGTTCCCAAAAGCAAATTCTAGCATCCACATGTTATCTGCATCTGCAAACCTCGAGTGACCCTGGCCCTTCAGCTGTTCCAGCTGTTGGGTGCAATGGCACAGGGCTGGTTTTGCACCACTGCAAACAGATGTGGCTGCAGACACTATCTTTCAGTGACATAAATAAAAATTCCTTTTAAGGCATAATTAAAAAAGGCAAAGTCCACTTTTTTTTTCTTTTTCTTGATGGAATGCGTTTCAAGAATTAACTGCTGTTGTGCAAAGCGTTTCCATATGAGGAGATGCCTCCAAGTTGTGATTGTTACAGCGGAACAAATTGCACGTCAATTTGAATATTTGGAACGCAGTGCAGAAAACAAAATGAGAGATGCTTCCATAAAGTGTATGGAGATACAACTTAAACTTGGAGCCTGGAATTTTGTTATAATACTGTCCAAATGATGTGAAAAGTAGATTGTGTAATCATTTCTTGGTGAGAAATTGTCTCAATATATTGGCTGTTTAGCAAATATACTTTATTTTCACCTCCAGTGATGTCAATTTGCAGGTGTGAGGAAAGCTTGTAAGCTTGTCTTCCTAACATTAAATGAGGACATAAAGTATGTTTCCTTTTTTGAGTTGAGCTGAATAATGTAGCAGAATCTCCTTCCACTTCTTTGGATGGATTGTCTTAGACTTGGAGATTTTGTAGTTAAAAAAATTTGCAAGTTTTTCTGGTGAAAATAAGGACCTGATTTGCTAGTGGTGTATTCAGATTTGTACCATAGTTTAATTTTGTATTAAATTTGTGCATCAAGTGAGATTAAGTGTTTCTCTTTAAAGCTTGGTTGAAGGGATTTGTCAATGAGAGTCTTTGGCAAATTTTGCTTTAGGCTACTGAATTTTGCCTAACTAGTTTTCAGCTGAAACCTCAAGCCCTTCTTCCCATTCCTGTCTGCTCAGACTCCATAGGGTTGCAGCAAACCCTGACTCCTCCTGAGCAGCAGCTACTCCAGCCTTTGGGGTTTGGATAACATGATTTCAGGAAGCATGGTTTGAATGAGTTGGCATAAAGTCCGTGGTGGTTTCGTCCCCTCATTTCCCCAATCCTTGAGTTTGCAGTTGAAGACTGAGGTGTTTCTGATCTTTGTGCATGTGAGGATCACACTGAACAGAAATAGTCTTTTGTAGCCTGTGCACTACAGGATGCTGCCAGCAGATAGAGCTCATGCTGGTCAGCACCACAGCACAGAACCCCATTCCTCAAGACTTTGCACTTCCAGCTTCTGTTTCACAGTTCCTAGAGGAATATTAATTTTGAATTCAGTCTTTTAACAGATGGCAAAGCACTCTTTTCCTCCTTTTCTGCCCCAGTATATTCACTGTCAGGGGACTTAAAGATAATGAATGAGTGTCATGGTGGTACTGTGCTTTTCCTGATTTATGACGTTTTCCTGCTCTTCAGGAGAAAAATGAGATCAAGACTTTCTCCTAAACTCTGAAATAGCTGTAAGACAGCATAGTAAAATCTGATAGCCTGAAGTTATTATATTTATCAAAGATGAACTTGAACTGTAAATATTTTCCAATTTTAGAAGCTGCTACTGCTGGGTTTGAGACATCATAAAATGGTTTTAGATCTCACAAGAGGTGTAGAAATTTCCTGCTCATAATCACTGTAGCTTACACATACTGTATGATTCTTAAATCTGCACATTTAAGGTAAGAATGGGAAGGGGAATGCCCCTTCACTTTTAATGGGATTTGGCTTCTCACACTACTCTCCAAAATTACACTCTAAGAGGAAAAATCTTGTCAGGTTTCTTTAGGTGTAATTGTTATGGAATGTTGCTATAGTTTAGTTATTTATGCAATAGTTTAATGTGCTTGAAATGTGTTTTTGCAGTATTTCTTGGGAAAATTGCCTGGTTTTTGCTTTGACTTTTCTTCTGCATTGTTTACATCCAGCATTGCCTTTTTTTCCTAGTTGTAGGCATGCCATGATCTAGGTATGACAGACTGTGGAATATTTTTAATAAATTTGAAGATGCCTCCTGGTGAGGAGGGATGAGATTATCTGTGGTGGCAGACCTGGTCCTGAGGTGACTTTTTAGCAGAACTTTGGTGGAAGTGACACTTTGGCTCCTAGGGGGTTAACAGCCCATATTGCAGACTTGTGTTATTCACCAATTAAATACCTTCTCTCTTTGAACACAGTTAATAGATTTCCTTCCTCTGAAATTCAAGCCTGTTATTGCTTACATTCCCTCTCAAATCTATTG